CCTCTTCCAAGCAGTAGTTGCCTAATAAATCTGCTGCTAACTGTGTGATCACTAATGATGTATACAATCCTCTGCAATGAAAGCAAGCTAGCTATGTGCTAATGCTAAGTCACAGGACTTGACCACTGTATGTGAGCTTCCCAGGAGCCTGTCACATAGCAGACACCTGACATTTCTCTGGATCACTAACCTTAAAACTGGATGCTAAGACTGATCTTGAGCCTAACTTTGATTCCATGCCTTGGGAAATGGACTACAAAGGCTTGATTCTTACCCACAATGATTCTGGGACCAATTCTACTCATGCTACCATGGGCAACGTGAATATCCTGAAAAATTCTGCTGCTTCCAGTGATGAACAAATTTGATCTGGAATGGAAAGCCTCCCGCCAGCCAGGGGACTCAAAGTGCAGCCCTTGTTGCATGAGTTCTTGTTCTGTTAAGCCTTCATTCAAATGGTCTGCAGATGACTCTTCCACCACTTTGCCTTCATAAAAAAAAAAACCTGGGAGACAATTTAAAATCAGAACAAATTGAGACACTAATTTATAGACGTTTTTAATTTCTAATTGAAAATGTTTGGCATGAAGGATTTTTAAAAATTATTTAACTTGTTGGCAAAACACTACTTTGCAAAATTGTTAAATTGTGTATAACTCACATCACAAATCTTGGCAAAATGTATATTTTCATCAGTTTTTAACAAATACTGTAAAATTGTTTTGAAATGTCTAGCGATTTATGTTAATGTAGACTTTACTGGAATGATCAGCTCACGCCTTTGACTGCACACATCTCCTGTCTCCTTTTGTTTACAGTAAATACAAAGGCAATTCAATACCTCCACCATTTATACATTCAGTGTTTATATGAGACATTTTTAAACCTTTATTAACCTGCCATGTTTCCCCCCCCAGAAATTCATGTATGATTATCCACGATATGATGTATTTACAAGCTGGGTGGGGACCTGAATCATTTTGTGCAAAAGTGAAACCTGGTGATTTTCTAGTGCACTCCTCAAGTATCATGCTGAGTTCTTCCCAGCTGTATACTGGGGTCAATTACAGCTGGGAACGTGGGTTTAACCGCATCACCTGCTTTTCCCAAGTTCCTTCACCAGCACAAAACACCCTGAACCTCAGGCACAGGATGACTTTTAAAATTGTTGAAAGGTGATGTGTAAAGAAATACTGTAGATGTCGGCAGAATTTGGAGTTATTGCATTGTTTTTGTATCGTCACTTTGCTTGATATGTTGAAGAACCAATGAAGGATGAACAGCCAGCTAATATATTTCTCATTAACGAGACCCGATGTGGCGGTACAGTACATCTTCATAGAAGCACTGCTAGTTACAGTCAGATCTTCTTGCAATGTGTTACCTAACTCTTGCTGGCTGTTTTCTTTCATTGCAATACCAGTAATATATCATAGGTAATACCCAATGATGTACGATATTCATGATATATATATATATATATATGAATATCATACATCATCGTAGAAATGATGAAACATCGTACAAAAAACAATTTATATTAGCCATTAATGACTGCATGGAGCTATGATATAGGTCTAATCCCTTTGTGTGCCAAAACGTTACATAACAAGCATTTTTAATTGACATGATAAACTACGTCTCATGTAAACCGTACTCAATTGGTCATAAGCAATTTTCATGCAATCATCATAAAACCGGCATATTAACTACGGTGCAACGTTAAGTTAAAAAATTAACCCTAACCCTTGCTGGTTTATCAGTCTGCACATAAGCTCTTTGCTCATCTGGAATAGAAACCGTCGTTACCTCGCCAAACGTCACACAGTGACATAGGGACACCCCTGCAACATGTCACCACATGCTTGCAATTAGGTTCCCGCAAGCTTATTGGTGGCTAATATTTTTTTTGTTCCGGAAATTATCAAAAGTGATAAACATTTTCTTCCATGTTGCATTTTGCTGGAGTTTTTCCATGGTAAGTACCTCACTCACATGTCCAACATGCTACATGCCCTGTAGAAAAAGTGGTACAAAACATACTGGAAAGCAATAAGAAAAAAACTTAAAAAATTTAAATCAGCCCGTTTATAACAATTTTGATTTGCTCAAGAAGGCATATTTTAAATATAAACATCTTCTATATTCCTTGAGTGTAAATGGTCTGATGTATAAATGAGCTTTTAAAGTTTACATTTTTTCTTGACATGAAACAAGGTGAATTTTCCACAAAACCTCTGAGGCTGGTAGCTGGTATATGCCCTGTGGTCAGTTGTACCCCCTAATCTGTACCAATAGCAATATGAACTTGAAGGTTTGGCCGTGACCTTCTGTTTTCTGAAAATGTTTGATTCATGTACAAAAAAAACGCAAAACCAAGTCTGTTAGTTTATTGTTTACCTGCTGGTTCACTAGAGTTTTTATTTTAAAAAATTATAAGGCTTATGTTTTAAAATGTAATAATTTAAAGGATTTGGTTTAAACTGCAAAAAAACAATGCAAATGCCATATGGCTTCACTTCAAGTAATCAGTTTTAATCGACCAAAGATGAAAGCAACAGTTTTTTTTTTTTTCTAAATATATTTTTCTAAACCAGGCAAATCTGTGGTTTAAATATGCCATCATTGAGTAGTTCATAGGGTTCATTACTTTGAACTAATAGGACTTGCAATGTTTGTTGTCCAACAAAACAGTCTTTAACTTTGCATCACCTTTCGGGTCCAGTTTTGTTCATTTCTGCTTCATTTGAGGCTGTGTTTAGGAAATTTTTGATCCCAGATGCAACTGTGAAAATAAAGCTGATTTTGAGACCGGGGCCATGATGTGATCAGTCTGTGCCCCGTTTCCTGGAGAGTCAGATGTATTCAATTGGAAGTCTTATTTCACTCTCGCAGAGTTAGACACAACATTCAGCCAATTACATCCAGGATAGAAGAGCAGAAGGCTGCCTGTTTTTTTTTTCATTTTTAACAGGTTCTCTACCTACACCTAGTGCTCACAGAAAGTTTTGGGCACTTACTAAATTGAGTAGAAATATTGCAAATTTATGGGTTCCATCCATCCATCTTCTGAAACCGCTTATCCTGTTCAGGGTCACAGGGGGTCCGGAGCCTGTCCTGGAGGCTATGGGTGCAAGGTGGGAAATAACCCAGGATGGGGCGCCAACCCATCGCAGGGCACACTGACACACACCTATGGGCAATTTAGCAAACCAAATTCGCTTCATTATGTTTTTGGACTGTGGGGGAAACTGGAGCACCTGGGTGAGACCCCACAACAACACAGGGAGAACATGCAAGCTCCACACACATGGAGTAGCATCTTTGCAATAACATAACACACCAAACATTTGTGTTTAGTATCACTTTTGGAGACGATTACTACAATTGCAATTAATAGCAAAATGGCAGGACCAGAACTGAATGCCACTTTTTTTTAATAAAAAGAAAACATCTATGCAGATTTTAGACATTGATTGTCTGTGGACTTTTATTATGAAACCAATTAATTTGCAGCAGGTTTACCTAATTAAGCAAGCGTCCCAAGACATTGTGTGAGCATGTATTCATGAAAATACTTAGAAATAATAAGATCATAGGAAAAAAAGCCATAAAATCGAATGTTAAGTGGATTGCCTGAGCTGCTATTTTTGGTGAGTCTAATCTCGATACCAGTTTGTTTCAATAGCCATTAAAACCAATGAGTAGTTCTAGTCTTTGTGTTTGGGGTATGTTAGACTCACTGATACCATGAAAGAACTCCTAATTTGCAGACTCTATCATCAATGTGGTTTGGGCGCAAAACATATTTATCCAATACAAAGTGTCTTGCACTTGTATTGAAAGGAAACTAAAAAAAGAATGAGATCCTTACACCCCCCCACCCCCAATAACCTCCCAAATTTGCCAATAAAGGGCGATTACCTGTGCGGTGAATGATGAGTCAGTGACGGGGCAAGATGCTGACATCCTGCAGTTCTGGCTGTGAAAGCAAAGTGACCAGCTTCTCTTCCAAGTGCTGGTTGTACTTCTGCATTACATTAATTACACCATTTGCCTTGCCTTTTCATTGCCTTCACTCAAAATTCAAATCATCCCATGAACTCTGCAGCATTCTTAGTATTTCTCTGTATGTCCCAACCGTGACTCATGCACAAGCTCACTGACCATTTACACTGAAAATGACAATGACACAAGTGAGTTAAAAAATTTAAATGTATTATCAAAAACAGACAAGGAAGATGTTATATACATTTTGGGTCCAGTTTGTTTCTGCTTCAGACATTTTCAGTGTCACTTTGCACCTGGTCCACATAAAAATACATCATCGGAATCATCTAATTCTCTGATGGATAATGGGCACAAAAATATGTCATTGGGAACATGTAGAAAGGCCTGGATTACTGACAGCAAAAGTGAAAGTAAAATGTGTGTCACACAAGGCTTTTATTGCCCTTACAGCTCAACTGATCAAGAATCTGCACCAGCTGCCTTGAAAAAAATCCATATTAAAAATTCAGGTGGACATTTCACGCTGGTGCAAATGCTTAATGAATCACTACACCTGTAGTGAGTAGGGCAATATACAGTATGCAGACAGCAGCCAAAGGCCAACAGGAAACACAAAATATGTAATTAGCATTATAGAAAGTAACATTTCATATGGAGAATGTTTTACGAAATATTCAATAGTTATCTAAATGATTGTATGTATCTAAATGATTATATTGTTTAAATTGTTATAAATAATAAAAAATGTAAAATTATCTGTGAAAGTCACCCATTAAACTCAGGGGAGAGACTCTAAACAAAACCAAATATAACTGCTTGCATTGCAAACTTCACAAGAGATCGATCGTCGTTTGAATTCTCCCTTATGAATTCTTAATTTATATAAAAATTCTCATTTTTGTCTTCTCAGTCCTGAGGCCATATTAAGATCCATCCTTTAAGTAGACAGTTGTTCTGATCTCCTCCTCTGGGGGACTGTTGAATTACCTCTAGACCCATAAAGTGTGAGCAGTTGGTATCGTGACTCATGCATTAAAATGTCTTTGTTACAGTTTCAAATTGCACATTTATGTTCACAAATTTTCCGCTGTTGTTTTTTTTACTACATAATATAAGCGACATTGGCAGGAGAGTAACGTCACCACAAATGAGGATAGACAAGTGATTCTACCCTTTAAAAAAAAAACAAAAAAACAACAACACGACAAAATCATGCATTTTATACCTATCAAAGGAAGAATGAATTATGAAAAAACATACTGTTACACATTTAACATTTTTTTCGGACTGAGGCAAACTGCGGATACGGGGGCACAACTGTAATGCATCCCCACAATATATTAAAACATGGCCACGATTGCACATCCTTTTTATCGTTATGGCATGAGCGGGGGTCCGAGCAGGGTTCTGCACATTTCGTTGCTTGTATAAAAGAACAGCCATATGGATTAAATAGGTTTAGCTACAGCTAACAATGTGTGGTGGCAAGTGTAAGTTAGAACAACTTAACTGTCATGCTAAAGTTAGATGAGTTTAAGATTTTGGAAGTTAGGATGTAATACAGCCCCAGGACAGAACAGACAAAACATGGTTATAAATGATAATTCGATCGATTAGGCGAGATCGAGCTCTTGTGACTTTGAGTTTGGAATATAACCATTCAGATATTAGGTTTTATTTAGAGCTCCCCCACTCAGTTTGATAGGTGACTTTGACAGATTATTTTAATGGTTGCTGGTATAATTTAAAATGCAGTTTAAATAATCCTTTAAATGATATATGTATTCATTGAATATTGTCACAAAACACCTTCCATACGTTTGAGGCTAAATGAAAGCATTCCAACACATGCAAGTGCTTTGATTATTAGAGTGATTACAAAAACAGGCAATCAGCATAATATAACAAGTATTGGATTATACTTAATAAACAGAAAAGCTATTTGGAATGCAAACGCATATTTTGTTTTTTTAATAAAAAATTAATCACATGTTTTTTTCTCATTGTAAAGCTTAGTTTTGACTGGTCCTGTACATTTATCCCCCACTTTTGTTGTGCTTTTTTGCCTAGTTTGTTCTCGCCGATCCCTGTGTAAATTCTGATTGGCTGCTGGGCTTCAAGAAGCTCTGCAGCCCCTGAAAGTGGCACTCTAGTAAAAAGATGTGAGGGCACTGTAAGAAGTAAAAAACAATGGATTTTGTTGACATTTATTGCTTGTTATAACATTGTTAAATTCTTAAAAAGGAATACCCAATACAGTTGTACCTCAGTTCTCGAACTCATTAGAACTCAAATTTTTTTCATTGGAAACTAGAACTAGACCTGAATCTCAGAAGTCGAACCGTGAACGCCGACCTAAGGTAACATGTACGCGCGGGGAAATGAGTCACGCGGCACGTATCTCAGCGGAAACAAAGGGAAATGCTTCAGCCTCGCATTTGCTGTGATAGCATCATGCATGTTTACACTAGCTGAAGAAATATATTTAGACAGTAAAAATACATTTAGATAATGATAGACAGTAACAGTAATTATTATTATATAATAAAATACATTTTAAAATAAAGATTTCTTATTATTTTAATATTAATAATAAACCATTAATACATTTAATTATAATAATATTGTGGTATAATAATATTGGAGACAAAGGTGCAGACATCAGGGTATCGGGGAATACGGGTTTTAATTACAGGTAAGGCAGGCAAAACGCAGACGGACAATACAATGACCGGACTGGGGAAACAAACTGAAACGCGGACTAAATACTGAGGATTAATGACAACAACCAGAAACAGCTGATCACACAGAGTTAACGAGGGGGCGTGGCATACGGAAAGAGCGAACGATCGGGGCAGGACACATTGTTTAGATACATTTATTTTCTTACTTTAAAAATTACTGTTTTGATAAATGTGCTTAGATGTGTTTAGTACAGTTATGGTTTGCTTGTTTTGTCCAGTTCATTTTGTGTTTAAATGCTAAAAAAACATATTTCAGTGTAATTTTTTGGGGCCGGGAACCAATTAATTGGTTTTCCATTATTTCTTATGGGGAAAATTCGATCAGAACTCAAACTTTTTAGGATTCGATCCGGAGTTCTGAACGGATTAAATTCGAGTTCTTAGGTACCACTGTATATAAATTTTATACACAAATTAAATTTGGTTAAAAGGCTACATGGATAAGCACGACCCTTATTGGATAAGAGTTACGGGCCATTTTTCCACCGCACCAGGTACCAAACTTTTGGTAGTTTGAAAAAGTACCGAAAATACGGTACTTCCGGGTATTGGTTTTCCACTGGCATAAACCCTGGTACCGGTGCCGAATGACATGTCAACACGGGTATTTTGTACTGAATTCTAGAGTGTATTATAGGGCTGGACGATGTGCAATATTAATTCCAACATCGCATGTTATGCACATTCAATTCTTACATCGCTAGTCAGCTAGATTAAAATAAGGCTTTTGGCTTACTTTCAATTCTGTACCGACATTATACCGTAGGGGGTTAAGGTTTCACTAAAATATTTTTACTGCTACTCTGTCATAGGAAAAAAAAAGAAACTTAGCAAGCTTTGCAATTTTAATTACTATTCCTTTTATAGACTCTTATATGTTTAAAAATCAGTTTAAAGTTTATCTCCACTGCTTTTGCATGAGCGCTGCATGTATTCTCTGAGACAATCGTAATCATTTTCATTCTTGCTGTTTATATCACTCGAAGACAGGTTTGTGAGAAATTTATTAACTCCTTTTTTGTTTAATAAATACCCCAATACTTATTACTGAATCACATCGATAGCACGGTATATACCTGCTGAATTAGTATATTCATATTCAACAAAATACTTTTTAATTTCTTGTCATGCCATCTGGATCTTTTTGTTGTATATGTGACCAAATTGCATCTTTTTTTTTTTATTTAGTTTATCATTATTTTCTGAGTTTGCAACTGCTTTCAAGGCTGCATTTGTATTGTGTTTCAGCGGCAGGCTATTTGCATAACGAATCGATAAAGAAAGCATTTCAAGTCCCACCCCAAAGTACTGAAGTACCAAAGAAGTACCCCAGCTGGTTTGGCACTTTCAGTACTAGAACGTTTGGTACTGGTACTCGACCGGAAGTCAATGGAAAAGCATAAATACCGAAAGTACTGTACTTGATGCGGTGGAAAAGCGCCCATAGAAGATGAAAGAATGCATGCATGGTAAGGGGATTCACCGAGTCACATTTAATGTTCCTTTGCTTGTTTACTGTGTGTGTGTTAGCAGTGTGTCATCTCATGCTTGCATATCATAGAACTGGGGGTACATCACAGGTCAGACCACAGGTCGCAGTTTGGGGCATTAATGCAAATAGCATGTGAGAGTGTCTGGTGATTGGTGACTGTCTGAAAATGAGGCTGACCCACAAAGCCATATAGCAGTGGTGTGCATGCTCTGTACCTGCATGCAGGAGGAGCCACTGCCTTGGTGCTCTCACTGGGAGACTTTCTCTGCCCCTTTCTTGTGTCCTGTGCCATCAACTCGGGAGACACTGCAGGGAAAAGAATAATAATTAAATACAAATGCTGCACATCCAACCATATGAACTGCAAAAACCTACCAGAAGCCTTTGAAATTGGTCTTTGTATGAATGTCCTGTCTTGTAACATACTTGTTGCTAATAATAATAGTGATGCCCGCATTTGAATTTTTGAAGCATTTTAACCTTGTGTCATACAGCAAAAGTTTAGAATTCATCATTCCAGTAAATGTGAGTCCTATGCCCAATAAAATGGTGATAATTCTACGTGGTAGAACTGAGATCTACTGCACCTAACAAGTGAAGACGGGGAGTTAAAGAGAACTTTCAGCGAGGCATCCCTTAGAAAGTCTGAATGTTACTGCAAATGCAGATATTCTGGCTGTCACAGAAAAAACTATTTTAATGGTACTACATTAAGCTGGACAAATATTTCAATCTCCAGCATTCTGTGTAATAAAATGCTGTTACAATACATCAGACAGCAGGGAATCATAGCATTTTATCAAACAGTAAAACCTTCCTTTTACTCCTGTAAGTACATCATATTCTTTGAGTACACAAGTTTATATTTTAATATAATACTGAGATACACTTTACTTAATGGGGGAACAAGTAACTTAGTAACTCAGTTGCTACTCAAGTACAAATCACAAACAGATAGAGTAACTGCATGAGGTACATGAACCATTATGACTGATTAATGATGAACAAGCATGGAATCAGTACATAATTATCACTTAGTTTCTGGTTAATTATTAAATTCAGTGTTTCCCCTAAGTTTACAGCTTTTTTTTGGGGGGGGGGCAGACGGACACTGACAGTTTTCATGGTGTTCGTGTTTCATTTAATGACAGCAGTCAAAAAAACGTAGATATTTTTGTCTGCTTTTCAGGTGCTTGACGTGACGTATTTTCCGACGCGCGCTCTCTGTCCGCCGGTGGGAGTGTGCTCACCTGTGTGTGCGCGCACGTGTCTGTGCACACGCATCGGGGCGGAACTCCGCCATGCGCGATACAGAGAGCAGAGGAGAATTGTAAACGCGCAACCGTGTAGAGAGAAAAATGACAAGCTGTTGTGTGAATAAGATAAATAGCATAAGGCTATTTAGTTTGTATAATAAAAGGACAATGTATAGACCTGTTCTATAGGAAAGGTAACCTTAAGTGACTTCTGTTGTCATCTGGCGCTATATAGAAAATAAAATAAAATTAACTTGACCTTCAAGGGGGGGGGGGCGCGAGGTGCCGTTGGGGGGGCGGGGCACCGCCCTAATATAATGGTAGGGGAAACACTGACATTACTACATTATTTGTGCCACAAGTAAAGTGTTACCTATGGCTGAAACCATAATATAATATTACTATAATGCTAAATCCACAGACAAGAGTTCCACTTTTGAGGATGCGGACAATTGGACAGAGAAACCAGACAACAGAAAGTCAATCACAAAGTGACCATGGGTCATGTTACTGTACCTCTGGCTGGAGCGGAGTTGAGCTACTGGGACACCGTGGTACACTGGGAGGCGAGACACCCCTAATGAGGGAGAGGATATATGACAGTAACCCACAACAGCAGAGTTTAATTACCCACAGGGAAGCTAAGGAAAGACATGCAGTTTGTTTATTCCACACACATTGACAATAGACATTTTACTGCAGCAGGTTTATGAAATATGGTGCTGCTCACCGCTGTCTTTTCTTTCAGAACAGATAGGGGGAGCTGCAGCTAATGAACATGAACACAGAATAAACATGAGTAGCCTTAATCATTCAATGATATTAAATGAATGATTAATTGGAACTGAACTATACAGTTCTATAACTGGTTCAGTCCAAAAATGTGTTCTGTTCTCTGACTAGGTGATGTAGCAAAACAGAAATATGTGCAGAGAGAAATCCTGCGTTGAGGATCAGGATAACTTGTCAACTAACACAATACAAGTTTTTCTAAACAAAACATACTTTATTTTGCCATTGCTGTTTTGTGTGCCTGAGATTCCATAACTCAGTGTACCTGTATCTGAGGCCAGTGACCTACCCTTGGGTACAGACCAGCCCAGCACTGGTCTGGGGTAGGCTGTGGAGGTTGTCTGGTGCTTGGGACCTTGGCTGGGCTTGGTCACATGGGCAGGGCCTGCACATAGGTGTGGGGTAGAGATTAGTCCTGCTACTTCCTGCTTCTTACTAAAAACAGAAAACAATCATCCTCAGCTTCAGAGACGTGTGAATTTTATAACAAAGTATTGAACAAGCGATTAAGTAATTGGAACAAATCGTGAAGCCTAACTGAAACATGATTTGCATGGCATTCCAAGATTACACACCCTATATGTGAGATTTATATACCTGGGGGCACATAGTTGCTACAGTATATATCTATATGTTTGTCTACATGTGTAAAGTACTGTTATTTGACCAGTATATTAGTATGTAAAACAATACAGAGAAGCCATCAACAAAAGGAAAAATATACATTTTGTATAGAATAATTTCGTATAAGTTAACAAAATGCAATATTGTATATCACAGCATTTCCATATGCATCATAATGTATCAGAAACAAAATGATATAGATCCACAATCACATCTAAAGACAGACAGCCTTATTCACCAGGGTGGTGTGTATATACTGTATACCAAAAGGTGGTGATTTACCTGCATGTGTAGCCTGTGTACCTGAGAAGCTCCTGGCTAGTGGTTTCGTCTTTATATTTGCACTTGCAGCAGGTCCTCCCTGTCAGGTTGGGGAAGCTTAGTGTTATTACACGTTACATCTGGTCATACCTCAGAGAAGACAGCCATGAAGTATATCTCTAGTACCATGCTGGAGACTTGCGAGGTGGAAGCCACAGGGTAGGAAGAATTGCAGACAGCCTTGAGATTTTGTTTGGCCCCAAGAGTCCTGTGGGTCAGGGAGGGCCTGATTGCTGCAGCAGCCCCATCTTGTGAGCCACTCCCAGGATGCAGAGCAGCAGAGGAGCCATTACTGCGTTGGCCTCTTCCTATCCCCTGCCCAGGCTTCATGCACTGTCTGTGGAGGGAAGTAACAAGCACAGCCTGGCCGTCGCTGGCTTTCGCCCTGCTTTTCACCTCCTTTTTAGGGGAAGTGGCTGGGGAGCCTCTTTTGGGTGTGCCCTTGCTTGCATGTGCCGTGGGCGTGTTCTTCTTTGTGGCAGGTGCTGTCTTGCCAGTCGGTTTTACCTCACTTGCCACATGTGTAACACTGCGCACAGCTGGTGTGGTCTTGCACACTTTGGGTGTGATTTTACGTTTAGCGGTAGTATCCGAAATGTCGTTGACGGGAGAGCTAGGAGATGCCGAGCCCTCCTCTCCATTCAGGGAGAGTAACGAGATGCCCTCCAAGCTGACATCTGGCAGAAGCAGCCGAACAGGGCTGTCCTTCACCACATAGGTTTCCCGCCGAGGGCTCCGGCGTGGTTCCTGCGCCCTTATGAGGGCTGTGACTAAGGGTGACTGCTCCAGGTTTTCCTTTAACGCCAATTTCTCTAGCTGCCGAGCGAGGCGGTTAGCTTCCCGGCAGACCTCTTCGAACTTTTCCGTGCTTAATGGGGTCCAGTGAGGCGGTCCAGGTGAGGCCCTGCCAACACCTTCCCGGGCATTGAAGTCAAGGCTCTTGGCCACGCAGCGCTCCACGTGTTTCACAGCCCCCACGAAAACCTCTTCCTCCACCTCCTGGCTTGCCTGCTCACTACTGCGGGAAATACAGTTATATTGGTTATGTTGCTGAACTTATAGTGTGTAAATGTATTTGGTGGAGTCTGATGGGTGATAGAGATTGTGCGTTTAAACAATGATGACAATTACATCCATACTTCTGTTCCTGGTCCCAGACAACACTGGGCACAAGGCTGGAGGGCAACCTTGTAGGGCACACACACACGTGGTGTCATTCTTGTGTCATTCTCAAAACTGTTGGCCACGACTGTACACACTGAAACATATTGTAGACAACTAAATCCAGCTTATTAGTCTCCGTAAATGCATCTTACGCAACCACGGTGCGAATCCACAGCAGTATAGAAACTGCTGGGTTTATGCGGATCACCTGGACCGACCGTATAAGAACGGGACACCTCGTTACCTGTCCGAAACCGGAGACCCGAAGGTGAAATCGAGCTGCTCTTCGGTTATAAAACCAAGATCTGGAAGACACGTACAGTTCAACTATTTAACCATGGCTTAAATTGATATTTATTTATTTAAATCGTGTGTAAATTGAATTCATACCTTCTGTAAGATTATCCATTTTAAAAATCTTCTGAATATTTTCTGCAAATACAAGAGTTAGGTAAATAAATAGATTTTAGGTCAATGGATTTTTTTACTTTTTGCTATTAAAATACACATCTGATGATAAAACGCACTCATTCGTAAGTGATTCATTTATGAACAATTATTGAATACAGGATATCGCTAATAGGTATCGGAGGTAGGCAAACTTACAAAATCAACAGTTAGTAATCACTTTCAAAACGTATTCATTCAAAGATCCCAAAGTTTCCATGGCACAAAACCAATTCGATAACATATAAACAGTTATACATTTAAAATTCAATATACCAAGCGCACTGTTGTTCGATTTAAATTTTGTACCGAACACTCCGATTGGACGGTTCACAACCGGAAGTTTCTACATGGCACCGAGTAGGCATAAACTGTCCGCCACGACACAGTTTCCGTTATATTGCTTTTATACTGTTAAACTGATCTGATCTTGCATGCCAACTTTATACTATCTTAAATGTCTATTATGTGTATTCTATTTATTGACTTATTTAGTTCTATTTTTATCTTTATTGTGTGTTCAGTTAAAAAAGTGTAATATTTATTATGGGACTATTTTGTAAAGCTTTTGTTTCCTTACGGACGCTGTTTTTGACGTACCCCGCACGCGGAATTGTGTCTGAACTGTGTTAATGGTCGTTTTATGTGTGCTTAAGTTTAATTTGCACATTTGTCATTAAAGATGTCTGGTATTCCACCGGATTCGTGGCAACCGTCAACAGTATCACTGGAGACGTCGTAAGTGGACCATGGAGAATTTAATGAATTGTTTTTTTTCTGTGATTCGTTATTGTCGGCTTTATAACCTTATTTTACCGCTATCTGTGCACCCCCATTGACAAATCATTTGGTTCAATGTAGACAAACGTCAAACATAATAATCACGGACACTGCTAGCATCTTAATTCACAATATTTATATTTATTTTCTCTTATATGACAGTCTGAGAATGAGCCCAAAGTACATGATGTGCTGTATCATTTGTTTGACATTCTTTAAACTGGTTTGTAACGCACGTATTGAAAGGATCAGAATTTGTATTTTGAATCATTAGGTATAAGGGAAATTTCACAATTCCGTCCTTTACATTATTTTTGATACCAGATATTTATAATGCGGCACAACATTGTGAATACAGGGTAACTCACCGTTTTAAATGTAATGTAGACAAACTATACTTGATATTAATTATTTTTTGGGCTCATAAATGTGAGCTGTGATATACATTATGAGTGTAATAAAAAAAAAATCTTAATACAATCCTACTGTACTGAATAACAAATTGCTTTTAAAAACTTTAAAAAAGTTAAAGTTACTATTACAGAATCTCTATGGCTACGAATGGTAATTGGGTCTGAAGATTTATGTAACACAATTACATACGTTTAATTCACTGATCAGTTTGAAACTAATTACTTTGTTGCTGAAGTGCAAACGTCCAGTAAGGGGCGGTAACGTTATGCATCTCCAACTTATGCTACAATATTTCGGCTTCGCTTATCCATCATTTAAAGTGTCCGTGGTTACAACTGCTCTAACACATAGCAGTGGTAGTATGATTTTTTTACGATGAACGGGTTATTAACACGGAACGGTGAGAAACGATACACTAGTGTCATGGCTGTAATTTCAGAATGGGCACCATCGTTGTGGAACTGTACTGGAAGCATGCTCCGATAACTTGTAAGAACTTTGCCGAGCTTGCCAGGCGTGGGTACTACAACGGTACCAAGTTCCACCGAATCATTAAAGACTTCATGGTACAGGGAGGTGACCCGACCGGAACTGGTGAGCAGCTAATCACCGATTCGCTTTACCTGCTTGTATCGTTGCTTTGCTTTATTTTATTATTTTTTGTTTTGATTTTAAGGGTACTTTCGAATGGACGCTAATCAGTCAGTTAATCAATCAGCTAATTAAAATGGTGTGTGGCTCAGTGCGGCTAAGCCTCTGTGATTTGAACAGAAGGTCACCGGTTCGAGCCCAGCTTTGGCAGAATAGTTGCGTCTGTGGGCCTTTGAGCAAGGCCCCTTAGCCCCCAGCTCCATTGACAACACTAGGGGGTGTCACCCTTTGCTGCCAAGCTTGCCCTCACCTACATATGTTTCTGTGTGTCATGGAGAGCAAAATGGGTTAGAATGAGAATTTCCCCATGGGGATCCATGAAGTTTCTACTGCTGCTTTTCTTACTATAAATCAAGATTTAATTTTATGTAAATATGCAATAAAGAGAGGATTCCAGTAGCTTTCACTTTTTATGTCAGCCATTTTCTTTCATTTGAAAGTATGAGCTATAAATGGTGATAATTATTGGGTACCATAATTTAATGTGTTCACACGACAATGTACACATTTTCCCATCTATAGTGCCATTGTGAGTTGTGGGAACAGATAAGTAGTATTACAAGGGGGTCCTTCCTAGGGTGTCAATAAAAAAAAAACGCATTTCTATCCTGTATCTACCTGTCTGAAATGCAAACGGAATGATCCTGTGTGTGTGATAGCCCGCACACGCACAATGTGCGGGTTCAGTTAGATCCTACTTTTGTTTTTAAAGGACGTGGTGGTGCCTCCATATATGGAAAGCAGTTTGAAGATGAACTGCATCCCGAGCTGAAATTTACAGGTAATTTGTGATTGGCAGTGAATCAGTGATGCTTTGGCGGCACGCTTCTCTCTGCGGCTCGTGCAGAGTAACGGCCTCTCTGTGTTCCCGCATGCAGGGGCTGGCATCCTGGCCATGGCCAACGCAGGTCCCGACACCAACGGGAGCCAGTTCTTTCTCTCCCTGGCACCCACACAGTGGCTGGATGGCAAACACACCATCTTCGGCCGAGTGTACCAGGGGATCGGGGTCGTCAACCGTATTGGCATGGTGGAGACAAACTCTCAGGACCGACCTGTAGACGACATCAAAATCCTCAAAACCAGCCTGCCAAATTGAGTTTCTTCCTCTCCTGTATAGTGTTTAAATACATGTTTTTTATATACAGTCTTTGTGGTAATGATTAATTTCTTTGCAATATTATGGTTTATTGTGCATATGCATCCTGTTTCAAGTAAATAAAGTGGCCATATATCCACACTCCAGTCACATCAGGTAGTTAAACCACTCCACACATCATAGTCGGAAGTTTCATAGTAGCAAGGTTATGATCTCCAACTATAACTTCACTGAACCACTACTAGTACCATAACAACAGGTGCAACTTCGCCAGTATCACAATTGAATTTTTCATAGCTTAGACATTACTGGTGATAATAATTATGCAGTGCTCACAGGAAGTCTTGGAATGCTCGTTTGATTCTTTAAAAATACTGTAAATGCATTGGTTTTCTAAAATAAATGGTTACTTCATTAGTTAACAAAAATATCATATTAGAATCAAGCAGTAGTTTTAAGTGAAACATTCTTTCAAGTAGTAATCAATTGAAGCTCACATTATAAAGAGCTGTTCTAACCCTAACAAGCAGTCTTATTCGGTGCTTTTTAATTCGTAAAGTCTTCACAATAATACAAAAACACCAAATATTTATGTTTATTATATCTTTGTATATCTTTGGGAGCCAATGACTACAATTGCAATTAATTGCAAAATGGCAAAAACAACTGAATGGGTCATCCAAAAAAATTATGACACTTCAAAATATCTGTGCAGAAGATGTACAAATATGTTAAACGTGCTTGTCAAGTTTAAGTACCTCGGGGTCTTGTTCACAAGTGGGGGGACGATGGAACGGGAGATCGACAGGCGGATCGGTGCAGCGTCAGCAGTGATGCGGGCGCTGCATCGGTCTGTCGTGGTGAAGAAGGAGCTGAGCCAAAAGGCAAAGCTCTCAATTTACCAGTCGATCTACGTTCCTACCCTCACCTATGGTCACGAGCTGTGGGTAGTGACCAAAAGAATGAGGTCGCGAGTACAAGCGGCCGAAATGAGTTTCCTCCGCAGGGTGGCTGGGCTCTCCCTTAGAGATAGGGTGAGGAGCTCGGTCATTCGGTAGAGCCGCTGCTCCTC